CTATGCCAAAGCCTTTGACTGTGTGGATCACAACAAACTGGAAAATTCTTCAAGAGATGGGAATACCAGACCACCTTACCTGCCTCCTGAGAAATCTGTATGTAGGTCAACAAGCAACAGTTAGAACCAGACATGGAACAACAGACTGGTTCCAAATTGGGAAAGGAGTACAAAAAGGCTGTATATTGTCACCCTGCTTATTTAACGTCTATGCAGAGTACATCATGCGAAATGTTGGGCTGGATGAAGCCCAAGCTGTAATTGAGATTGTCAGGAGAAATATCAATAACCTCAGATATGCAGATGACACCAGCCTTATGGCAGAAAGCGAAGAAGAACTAAAGAGCCTCTTGATGAAACTAAAAGAGGAGAATGAGAAAGTTGGCTTAAAGCTCAACATTCATAAAACTAAGATCATGGCATCTTATCCCATCACTTCATGGCAAATACATGGGGAAACAGTGGAAACAGTGACAGACTTTATTTTCTTGAGCTCCAAGCTATGACCAACCTAAGAGCAGAGACATTACTTTGACGAGAAAGATCTGTTGGATTATAAAGAAAGCAGAGCACCAAAGAAGATGCTTTTGAACTGTGGTGCTAGAGAAGACTCTTGAGAGTCCCTTGGACTGCAGAGAGATCCAACCAGTCTGTCCTAAAGAAAATCAGTCCCAAATATTCATTGGAAGGACTGATGCTGAAACTGAAGCTCCAATACTTTGGCCACCTGATGGGAAGCTGACTCATTGGAAAAGACCCTGATTCTGGGAAGGATTGAAGGCAGGAGAAGAAGGGGACAACAGAGGATGAGATGGTTGAATGACATTACTGACTTTATGGACATGAGTTTGAGGAAGCTCCGGGACTTGGTGATGGCCAGGGAAGCCTGGTGTGTTGCAGTCCATGGGGTGGCAAAGAGTTGGACACAACTGAGTGATTGAACTGAACTGAGCTGAGGGTAGTGGATAACTTGTGGGTCAAACAATAAACAAAAAGCTTTCCTTTTTAAAAGATAAGCTGGGTAATATGTCCATAGGGGATTTTGAAAAGCTCTGACATACTCTTGGAAGTTAGAAGGCCACTTGAATTTGTAGAGCTTTGGGCATGCCCAGGGCCACCCACATGATCAAGAAAAGTATGATCAAGAGGTGAGTCCAAAGCTCTCACCTCTGGATGACCTTAAGGCTTTGTGCAAACAGGAAGTGAAGGCTAAGGCAAAGTTGTCCACTGCCTGGTTGAGTGTTGAAGGTGTCCCCTGAAGTGTGCACTATCCCCTTTGCAAACACTGGAAGATTTATTGGTTCCAGGCATTTAAGGACATCTCTGTCTAATCATTAGTAGACCACTAAGCTAACCTAATAAAGACTTTAGTGCCCACACATAAAGAATATAAACTTTACAGATCGGTTTAAAAAAGTAAACAACAAATGGACAACAAAAAACAGCAAGAACAACAACAAACTCTGAAGAGGGGGATATTCTGATTTCTAGAGTTGCCACATTATATTAGTAAGCATGTCTACTTTTAAGCAAAAATTATGACATGCAAAAAAATAAGAAAGTATAGCTCATACACAGGAAAAAAAAAAACAAACAGCAGTCAATAGAGTGTGTCCCTTACAAAGCCTGGATGTTAAACTTATTAGACAAGGTTTTAAGTCAACTATTTAAAAAATGTTCAAAGAACTAGATAAAACCATGCTTAAAAGCTAAGGAAAGATAATTGGGGAAAAAATGATAAAAGTGTCAAAATACAACTGACTGAAGAGACTAGAAACTTACAAGTTCAAACTGGTATAAAAATTAATACATACATGCTTACATATATAAATAAAAGATGCAAAAGGAAAAAAAAGAAATGTCTCACTAAATTAAGAACATCAGTAAAGAGATAAAATTATAGATTATAAAAAGAAATCAAATAGAAATTTAGGGCTTGGTAAGTACAATAACTCATATTAAAAATTCACTGGAGGGCCTTAACAGCATTTTTGGGCAGGCAGAAGAAAGAGTCAGCAATCTAAGGAACAGAAAAAAAAAAAAGAATATGGAAAAATGAAGAACCTCAGAGACCTGTGGGCCCTGATCAAGCATAACAGCATATGTATAATGGCAATTCCAGAAGAAGAGGAGGAAATGAACAGGATAAAAAATATTTGAAGAAATAAGTGGCTAAAAATTTCTCCAAATCTGATGACAAACATTAATCTGTAATTTGAAAAGCTAACCAAACTCCAAGAAGAATAAGCTTAATTAAAGAATTCATATCTAGATATATCATAAGCAAACTGTTGAAAGAATCTCGAAAGCAATGAGAGAGAAGCATATTATCATGTAACAGTGATCTTTGATAAGATTGAGTTGATTTCTCATCAGCAACCGTGGAAGCCAAAGGCAATAGGAGGACAAATAACAAGAAAGAAAAAACTGTCAACCAAGTAAAATTATCCTTCAAAATTAGAGAAGATAAGACATTTCCAGATAAGCAAAAACTGGAAGAATTTGTTGCTAAGCAGACTTACCCTATGATAAATGCTAAAGGGAGTCCTGGTCACTGTAAGCAGAGGATGCAGGCAGTACTTGAATCCACGTGAAGAAATAAAGAGCACCAGTAAAGCACCCACACAAGAAATAAAAGAATAAATGCATTTTTTTGGTAACAAGTTTTACTCCTGTCTGATTTGAAAGACAGCTGCATAAACTAATAATCATAAAAGTCTGTTGATGAGAGCAGTTTATAAGTCCATAATTTATATGACAATAGCAGCAGAGAGAGGGGAGGTAATGGAGTTCTGTATAGTGTTTAAATTATTTTATTATTAATCTGAATTAGGAGATTATAAATTCAGATGTTAATTGTAATCCCTATTTTTAAAAATAATAAAAAGAGAGAATTAAAAGAATACACTAGAAAATATCTGTTTAACACAGAGAAGATAGTAATGAAAGGATAGAGAAACAAAAAAGTAGAAACTGTATAGAAAATAAATAGCAAAGTGGCAGGTATAAATCCTGTCTTATCAGTAATTAAGTATAATTTACATTAAATGTAAATGAATTAAATACTCCAACTAAAAGACAAATAGGAGGACTGGATAGAAATATTAATATATGATCCAACTATATAATTTCTATGAGAGACACACTTTAAGTTCAAAGACATAAATAGGTTGAAAGTGAAAGGATAAGAAAATATATATCATGCTAGCAATAACCAAGAGAGCTGGGATGACTATACTTGGTTGTTGTTGCTTAGTCTCTAAGTCATGTCCGTCTCTTTGCAACTCCATGGACTGCAGCCCTCCAGGCTCCTCTGTTCTTGGCTATACGAATACCAGCCAGTTTAACAGCCTTTAAATTGTTGCTGGAAACAAAGGATATTTTATACTATAAAAGGGTAAACATATCAAGATGATAGAACAATTACAAACATATATGTACCTAGCAACGTAGTCCCAAAAACATGAAGCAAACAGAATTGAAAGGAGAAATAAACAATTCAACAATAATAGTTGTAAACTTCAATACCCCATTTTCAATAATGGATAGAACAACTAGGCAGAAAATCAACAAAGAAACAGACTTGATCAACATTATAAATGAACTAGACCTAACACACATCTATAGAGCGCATCACCAATAACAGCAGAATACACATTCTTCTCATGTGCACAAGGAACATTCTCCAGAATAGACCATGTGTTAGGCCTTAAAACTAGTCTCAATAAAAGTGAGGTTGTAATCATACAAGGTATGTTTTCTGACCACTATTGAATGAAATTAGAAGTCCAAAACAGAAGGAAATTGAGAAATTAGCAAATATATGGAAATTAAACAGTATACGTCTAAATAACCTGTGGGTCAGAGAAGAAATCACAGGTAAATTAGAAAATACTGTAAGATGAATGAAAAAGAAAGCACCATACCAAAACTTATGGGATTCAGCAAAAGCAGTGCTTACTAGGACATTTAGTGCTATAACCACATATATTCAAAAAGAAAAAAGATCTCAAATCAGTAATCTAACCTTTTACCTTAATAAAGAAGGGAAAAAAGCAAACTGAATTTATAACAAGAAAGTTAAGAAATAATAGAAATTAGAATATGAAGTCAATAAAAGCCAGTACACACCCAATAGAATTGCTGAAATTAAAAAGACTGGCAGTACCAACTGTTGGCAGAGATATGGAATAACTGGAACTTTGGCACATTATTGATGGAAATGTAAAATAGCATAGACACTTTGGAAAGCATTCACTAAGTTCTTTTAAAGTTAAGTGTATACTTGCCATACAACCTACCAATCCCATTGCTAAATATTTACCCAAGAGTCATGCCATTTTTCATTAGTTAGAACTTTAAATAGGGGACATAATAATTTCTTTAAGATAATATCACCAAAGAAAATAATAACAAAACATTTATCTTAATCTCTAGTAGCCTTAAAAATGAAACTGAATAGAATGGTTTATCCTGGTTCCTGGATCTTGTATGTAAATATATTTGAGTTTACATAAAATGGATTTTAGAACTATGCAAATACAGTTGACCCTTGAACAACAAGAGTTTGAACTTCAGGGTCCACTTGTAAGCAGATTTTTCACAGTAGTAAATACTACAGTGCTAAATCTATGGTTGGTTGAACCCATAGATGTGAAACCTTGAATAAGGAGGAACCACTTAGCTAGGGGCTGACTATAAGCTATATGAAGAGGATTTTCACTGCACTGTTAGAACACCTCAACTCTGTGTGTTTAGTCAAATGTATTTTGTATTTTAAGTTATTGCTTGTATAAAGATCTCAAATTTTGCTCTTTGAATTTCTGTAAGGCAGATATTGGCTTTAGGTAATCTAATGACTGGTCTTTAATTTGGAATCTAAAGTTTACAGCTTGACTTTCCTAGCGACATTGTAGATTCATTCTCAGATTTTGAACTTGAAAAGCAAGTGTTAGTTTCTCAGCCATGTCTGACTCTTTATTTTGTTTATATTTTCATAGGTTTATTGCTTCACCTCTAGCAAAAACATTTGGCATTAAAGAGGAAGTTCAAAAGAAGATTACACCAAATACTGTTTTAGAGAATTTTTTCAAACATTCCACAAGGAAACCATCTCAAGTAAGTACAAATTCTTTGTTTTGGGATTTTAAAATCTCCTTTCTTAATATTTCCATCATCTGTTGCTTACCTTATCTATGAAAAAAGTTAGTTTCAGTTGAGCAGCAAATAATTTATTTCATTTGGATTTTTTTCCTCTGTTGATAAGTTACAAAGCATTCTTAGCATAATATAAAGTGACACAATAATAATATACAACACATACAATATATTTATAATGATAGAAAGTAACATATTTAACTATTGTTGAACACTGACAATTTGGGTATAAAGATCAAAATTTAATTTTCAATGGTAGGATACATACAAAGTATACCAATGAAAATGGATCATTATTAAGGCAGAGTAGCCCATATCTGACACTTTTGATGAGTGTGACACCATCAGTACAAATGGCGCACATTACAAAAGTATCTCTTGGGGTGGCTTTCCTGAGCAGAACACTTTATTTTATCCAAGGCTTCAAAATACTCAGAAATACTCTGTGCTTCTGCCCACTCCCCAGAGATGGAATCCTTAGGAGAGTCACAATTTTCTTCTCTATACGAGATGTACTTGATGAAATGTTACAGTGCACTACATGTTTACACCACAGAAAAAGAGTTTAACCTAAAGGTTATGTAAAAATAGTAGTGCCCTGGCAAGTCTAGTTTCATTATACCTCACACTTAAATGAGATGAAATCAAAACTTCTCCAAATCTGGCATACCCTCTCCGACAAATACAGACATCTCTCACTAGTAATTTTAAAAGTCAAAAATAATGTGCTAATGTGGTTTTAGGATAGATAGATTTTTAAGGTCCTGAACTTATCTGCTGAATTCACTTGCTTTTTCTATGACACTTTCTGTCACTGGTCAGGTGGGCTCCCTGCACAAATAAACATATTGAAATCTGGCCATATAGCACCAGGCATCATGTTCAGAATTTTTCATGGCTAGCCAGCACTGTCTTTTAACTTGTCTGCCATCAGCTTCTGTATGTGACTTTTTTTCCTAGAATGAGGACAGTCTGACAAGCCATCTCTGTGTGTCCTTTATTTCTACCTGCTTGAAAAGACTGAAGTCATTCACCTAAATACTGCTGTTACCACTGGTGATAATGCTTAAGCATCATTTTACATTTTTCAGAGGGGAAGTTATTTAGTTGTGTTTATGAAAAGTTAGGACTCTCTCAGAGAACCCTTATTATCCCTTATTTCTATCTGAGAATAATTAATAGGTTTATTATCTGAGAATAATTTTAAAATATGTAGAAAATTTGGCTCTTATCAAGTTTCTCAGCTATGAAGATAAATTCGCCACCTGACAGTTAAAGAAAAATGAAGAAAAGCTGAAAGAGATTTAGAGATTAGGTCATCTTTCTTCTTTACAATTGAAATAAGGAAACCAAGGTCAACAGAGGACCTGTCTGAGGTCATGCAGCTAATTAACGGCTGAATCCAAACCTGGACCCTGGCCCAGGACTCCCTGTCAAGTGCTGCTTCTACTATGCCTAAATGATGTTGTTAACTGTGTACAGAATATTGAAAATGTATTTCAGAGGCTGGAGCTATGTTTGTAAGTAATTATTCTAGCTCAGTTGACAATACAGTATGGCTTAGTGTCGTTATAGTTTGGACATTTGCATCAGGTAATAGAGGAAATGTTATATTATCAACCCCCAAGTGTTAGAAAGCTTCCTCTACTAAACTATGAAGATGAAGGGACATAATTAAGATATCTAATTTATATTGCTCATAGATTACAAAATCAAGATAGTATTTGTATAACAGATCAAGATGACAACAAGTTGGCCAGTAAAATGCCAATAGAATAAAAGTACTAGAACCTGGGAAGATAGAATATAGTAGAAGAAGGCAAAGTAAATGACTTAGTAGTGATTTCAGATGTGGAAACAAAATGATACCACAATACTTCCACACATTAACTTGGCCAGTGTCATACAGACAGCATTTTTGCTTAATAAATCTGAGCTAGGACAAGTTGCTGGGAAGACTAAAAAAAAATGTGCTGGTTCAAGGAATGGGTGGGTATCACTTCTAACAAAGTATTCCAAGTCTGTAATCACAGGGCATGCAGTGGTAATACAGGTGCTTAACATCTGACTTTATTAAAACAACTGAGGACACAAATCAAGGATGCTTCTTCAGCTGCTACAGACTGCACCAGAAAAAACAAAAACATTTCAGATACACAGTATCAATTCTATGCTGGTTAGCATAGAGGATATAAAATGGTGTCGATGAGGTCCAAAAAGCTGTACGTGTGAACTGCCGCTGGAGTTTTGTTCTGTCTCACACACTTCTTTGTGACTGTGTATGTGCAGCTGTGTGTCCAGTGTTTATATATCTGTATGTCTCTCTCTATGTGTATCTCAATGACAATTTCAAGATGAAATTCAGAGAGAGAATCATGATAACTGATAGAGAATCATTAGAACATACCAATAGCTCTGGCCAACAGATCATTTGTCCTGCTGTTGGTAAAATGAAATAACAACAGAACTTATTAACAAGCCCTTTTCCTCTGCAAGAACACAATGAGAACTGTTGCAGAACAAATGAATGTGTAGTTCTTGAAAGGTAATCTAAAGAAAACGTGGTGCCTTAAGACTGACATAAAGCAGGTATTGTGGTCCATAGTTGGAGAAGAGTACATAGGGGCATTCCAGTTTGCTAGCTTGTCTCAACCATGGATTCACACATTTTTAGAGCAAAAGACTCTCTAGCTCTCCAGTCCAGTTTATTTTATGGGTGAGACATGTGAAAGACAAAGAGGTTGAGTCCCAGAGAGTTTGTTTTTGCATCAAGTAGCCAGGTCTCGTGGCCCATTTCAGGCCACACTGCTTCTCTCCTAGGTTCTGCCCAAGAGCCTTTCCCTTCCACGGCCACATTGTCTGTAGTGTCCAGGCTAAAAACACGAATTGTGAGAACAGACTGTGTGTGAAGGTGAGCAGATTAACCCCTCTGCCTCAGTGTCCCCCTCTGTGAACTGAGTGTGTTAACAGCAGTTACCTCATAGGGCTCTCAATTCAGGGATTGAGTTGAGTACTTAGAATACTGCCTGGTACACAGTCAAGGTCAGCTCTTGTTATTCATAGGCTATACCTAATCATGTAGACTTCTAGAGGAGCATTCTCAAATATATCTTCCCAACATTTATTATCCCAAGGGAACATCAGTTGTTTCCTAAGTATGCTTGTTTGTATTCCCATAATATCTTACACAACTTTCTGTACCTAGTAGGTGTTCAGTAAATGTTTGTTTTGTATATTAATAACAAAATACTCCTAAAGACTTCTGTTTGCAAGAGGACTTCTATCCCAAAATTATTGTAGATATATGAGGCCAGTGTTGTCAAGACTTTGAATCAGATTCATCTGTGCTCCAAATCAGGAAAAAATGCTTCAAATCATGTTTGATCACTATCTTCTAGATGCATTTATTCATCAGGTATCTGTAGAAATGATGAGGTAGTAAAATTGGATTGTTCTTGGATCTTGGAAAATTCTACTATGAGAACAGGGACTGTGCTCATTGATGAATCTCCAGTGCCTAGAATAGTGACTGGCACTAGTGAGTAGAGGCTCAGTAAACACTGGTGATGATTGAATGAATAAAACTTTTAAAGCAGTCAAGCTGGACCCAGAGCCCTTTCAGTCTCAGAAGGTACAGAATATAGTGCTGCTGCATTTCAGAATATGTTCTTCTGTGGACCAAGCAATAGGATTTAAATTGTATCTTCTGTTTGGGGGAATCTATTCATGCTTGCAAGTTATTTTAGGAGTAGAGGAATATTTTTTTCTGAAATGATTTTCAGTGTATGGTCTCCTTTCTGGGTTCAGCCATAATCTCTAACATTGATGTAGCACATGATAGATGATTTAATAGAGCCCTGAGATTCTAAATTACTCCCACAAGACAAGATGCAACCACTCATTGTCAATGCCCCATTTTCCACAGCGGGTCAGAGCACACAGCTCAAGGCTGCAGATCTAGGAAGTAGCAGAACTCGATCTGTTTTTAGTTCCCTGCCATTCCTACTGCATTCTGTTGCCTCAAAACCTGCCATGTTCTCTCCTCCTGCAATAGGGCTGTGACAAGTTTGGTGCCACCTAGGAGAGTGTATCCAGACCTCCAAACTTGTCCCATCTGGAGTGCAAGGTCCTTGCTGTGGGGGCCTCGCTGAGAGAGGTCAGGCATAACGGGGCAAAGTAAACACTGTCTCCACCTCCACTCACTCCTGGTGCTTCATACTTGACACACTGCAAGAGGAAGACTTCAAAATGCAAACATTCTGTAACCTACAGATACATTCCAGGCAAGGCCCTCATTGCTGTGGCCCTGGCCACATCTTTCCTCCTCACTTCCCCGCAAGGCCTCTTTCTGTCCCTTGAGTGCTTCCAGTTCCCCTTTGCTCTCATGCCCAGGTGACTGCACAGGTTGCCAGGACACTTCCCTTCTTCATCTTCTCCTTCTTGGACTTTTTTCAGGGTTTAGCATAAGTGTAACTTCCAGGAATTGCCTACATAAAGTTAGGTCCCATGGTACCCTGACCACCCCCTGTTTCAGCATTCATCATAATTTATTAGAATTATTTGTTGCATTTTCTGACTTCCTTACCAGACAGACTTTACCTAATGAAGGGGAGGCCCTGTAAATACTGATCCTGTTCGTTTAGATCTTCAATGCCAAGCACAATGCCTGCAGGAAATATTCACTAATGAATACCTGCCATTTTAGGGCCATCAAAAACACAAAAACAAACCAAAACAACAAAGAACAGCAGGTGAAACCTTGGCCTATAAAATAATAGTATTAGAGATGACAGTTTACAGGGAAACGGTATAATATGTCTTATCTATGTTTTGTTTTGCTTTCTTTCTCTTCAGATTAAGTNATTGAGGGCAGGTAATATTCAAGGTGGTTTGAGGTGGTGTGTGTGCTCAGTGTGAGATGGTGTGTGTGCTAAGTCATGTCTGACTCTGTGCAACCCTGTAGGCTGTAGCCAGCCAGGCTCATCTGTCCATGGAACCTCCAGGCAAGAATACTGGAGTGGGTTGCCATTTCCTTCTCCAAAATAGGCTGTGCATATGATTAAATGTGAAAGTTTTGGATCTATTAGAAAGACTGTATGAAGTAACAGAAAGGGCAGGAGTCTGAGTTCATATCCTCACTTTGCTACCAGTTTTAAGTCTTGGACAAGCTGTTAAAACACGCAGAGTCCCATTTTTCTCACAGGAAAAAATACAGAGATTGGGTTTTATTGACATCTTAAACTATACTACTCTACATGGAACCTGCTGCTGCTGCTGCTAAGTTGCTTTAGTCATGTCTGACTCTGTGTGACCCCATAGATGGCAGCCCACCAGGCTCCACCGTCCCTGGGATTCTCCAGGCACCTAGGAGGCCCTAAATAATATTGGCTGAAGAAGTGAGCCATGTATGGAATTTGAATGTATGGGTTGCTACCAACTTACGGAAAATTGGTCTTTCTTACGAACTGAGTTTTTTGGGAATTAACATTCTCTCTGTTTTGGGATGGGTGTGTGTGATTCCATGAAAAAAAGGAGTAAATGCACTGGCCCAAGGTTTAATGCAGAATCTCTCTCATCTCCAGTGCACAAATGCTTGTAACTCAGTCTCACTGTCTCTTGCTTGCCTACCAGCCTACTCTGCTCTTAAGCACTCATTCTTTTGTTTCATCCACTTTCAGACTGATATTTATGGACTGGCAAAGAAGTGTAACTTGACAGAGCGCCAGGTTGAAAGATGGTTTAGGAGTCGGCAGAATCAAGATAGGCCTTGCAGGATGAAGAAATTCCAGGAAGCTTGGTAAGAAGGGTAGTTAAAGCTTTTGAAATGGTACCGTTTTGTATGGAGCAGAACAGTCATCTCAGAAAGAATCCTGAGGTTGCAGCAGAAGAAGGGTCTGAGACTGCTCTATCACTTACCAATCAAGAGTTTCATGCTAGCCACCTCTTGTGCGTCACTTTCCCTCTTTATCAAACAAGGTAAGACGTGAACTGTCTCAGTTAAACAGGAGATATTATGTACTTATCTTGAAGTCCAGAAAAATCATAAAAATGTCTTAACTGGTGTTTATCTTTTCTAGGGTAGCACTTGGCCTTAGCTCACCAGACTATCTCCTGTTTCCAATCACATTATAGTTATTCTGTCACATTATAAGAGTAGAGAAGGTCTGAGAGGGTGCTGTCCTCTTCTCTCAGTACTGGTGGGGACAACTTCTTTCTGTCTCAACTCGACTCTTACCCTACTCCTGCTTGTGAACTGGACAACCAGTTCCTCTGGGTTCCGCACTGGTTTAGCAGGAGGTCTGGATGGACTGGGCACCACATAGAGTTTTTGCAGAGCTGGCTACTTCAGATACATTCCGAGGGCAGTGTGACTTTATCACACTTATTTTTGGCTTTATTAAAATTCTGCTTTTTCCTCTTCTTCAGAGTATTATAGTACTTTAGGTCACTCCCTTGGTGGCAAAAACTGACACCTATGCTAAAAAGAGGGTCTGCTGCTGCTGCTAAGTCATGTCAGTCATGTCCGACTCTGTGTGACCCCATAGACAGCAGCCCACCAGGCTACTGTCCCTGGAGTTCTCCAGGCAAGAACACTGGAGTGGGTTGCCATTTCCTTCACCAGTGCGTGAAAGTGAAGTCAGTCGTGTCCGACTCTTCGAGACCCCATTAACTGCAGCCTTACCAGTCTCCTCCGTCCATGGGATTCTCCAGGCAAGAGTACTGAAGTGGGGTGCCATTGCCTTCTCCGTTGTGACCCCATGGACTGCAGCCCAGCAGACTCCTCCGTCCATGGGATTTCCCAGACAAGAGTACTGGAGTGGGTGTCATTGCCTTCTCCATTGTGACCCCATGGACTGCAGCCCACCAGGCTCCTCCATCCATGGGATTTCCCAGGCAAGAGGACTAGAGTGGGTGTCATTGCCTTCTCCATTGTGACCCCATGGACTGCAGCCCACCAGGCTCCTCCATCCATGGGATTTCCCAGGCAAGAGGACTAGAGTGGGTGTCATTGCCTTCTCCATTGTGACCCCATGGACTGCAGCCCACCAGGTTCCTCCATCCATGGGATTTCCCAGGCAAGAGGACTGGAGTGGGAGCCATTGCCTTCTCTGGAAGAGGGTCTAGGTCATTGCTATCACTTTGTTCTTCTTCTTTATATCCAGACCAATAAATGTTAGTTGGGTTGTGTTTGATGCCACATTCTACACACCAATAGCGTTCCTTCACTTTGCCTATTTCTTACAGTTCTCAGATTGCCTAATGACTTTCACCAGATATATTTGTTTTGATGGAGAAATAGATAGGGATTTGGTATAAGACTCTCAAAGAAATCAAGCCTGTGAGAGGCTAAACTTTAATGACTTTCTTTAACTACCTAGCCCCAGGCATTTTGGAAATCTCAGGAAAATTATTCCCCAACACAGAACTCTTACAAATTACTCTCCAACAGGCCAACACTTCTCCACAATACCAGGATGGTTAATCTCTGAACACCTTAAGTTCAGTGTATTGTTACCTAGATTACTTAAGGATGACCCCTAAGCCCTGTTTTACAGCATTCAGGATTTTAATCCATAGTGAATCCTTATTTTTAAGTCATATTCCATATTAACTGATCACTTTTCTTTTTAAAATAAGTATTTCCATTTAACAATGAGAAATTTAATTAAAACACCAAGCAATTTCCAAATGGGCTTTCCCGGTGGCTCAGTGGTAAAGAATCCACCTGCCAATGCAGGAGATATAAGAGACACAGGTTCAGTCCTTGGGGTGGAAAGATCCCCTGGAAGAGGAATAGCAACCTGCTCCAATATTCTTGCCTAGTTCCATGGATAAAGGAGGCTGGCAGGCTATAGTCCATGAGGTCACAAGGAATCCAACATGACTAAGCATGCACGCACACAATTTCCAAGTACCTGGTATGTCTCATGCTGGTGGGAGGCACTCTTCTCCTGCCGGGTGAATGGCCACTTGCCCAGCTGGCCACTGGGCAGGTCCACTGCCTGTTCCATTCTGCCCCTGCCACTGTGGAGAACCACGTCTGTCCTGTCTCATGTCACCTGAGTTCCCTCTGTCCAGCTCCTCCCTGATCTAACTCAGCAGCCTTCATCTTTCAACTTTGCCATCTCTGTCTAACCAATCAATTTCTGTTTTTTTCCAAGAGTTTTTTCCCCCCTCTCACAATTATGTTTGTCTCAGCCATTCCTGGAAAAAAGGACATTTTACTGCTTTAGGTTCATCTAAAGCAAGGAAAATTAGTGAAGCACAATTAGTCAATTGCTTCACAATTAGTGAAGCTCGGCAACTCCCAAGCTTTTTGGTTTCAGGACCCCTTTGTTCTCTTAAAAGCTATTACAGAACCCAAAGAGCATCTGCTTGTGTAAGTTATACCTACTGATGTTGCAGTTCAGTTCAGTTGCTCAGTCATGTCCGACTCTTTGCAACCCCATGAACCGCAGCATACCAGGCCTCCCTGTCGATCACCAACTCCCAGAGTCCACTCAAACCCATGTCCATCAAGTCAATGATGCCATCCAACCATCACATCCTCTGTCTTCCCCTTCTCATCCTGCCCTCAATCTTTCCCAGCATCAGGGTCTTTTCCAATGAGTCAGCTCTTTGGCCTCAGGTGGCCAAAGTATTGCACCTTCAACTTCAGCATCAGTCCTTCCAATGAACACTCAGGACTGATCTCCTTTAGGATGGACTTGTTGGATCTCCTTGCCGTCCAAGGGACTCTCAAGAGTCTTCTCCAACACTGCAGTTCAAAAGCATCAATTCTTTGGCACTCAGCTTTCTTTATAGTCCAACTCTCACATCCATACATGACCACTGGAAAAACCATAGCCTTGACGAGACAGACCTTTGTTGACAAAGTAATGTCTCTCCTTTTTATTTATTTTTTTAATTTATTTTTTAATTTATTTTTATTAGTTGGAGGCTAATTACTTTACAATATTGTAGTGTTTTTTGTCATACATTGACATGAATCAGCCATGGATTTACATGTATTCCCCATCCCGATCCCCCCTCCCACCTCCCTCTCTACCCGATCCCTCTGGGTCTTCCCAGTGGACATGTGTCTCTCCTTTTTAATATGCTGTCTAGGTTGGTCATAACTTTCCTTCCAAGGAGTAAGCATCTTTTAATTTTATGGCTGCAGTCACCATCTGCAGTGATTTTGGAGCCCAGAAAAATAAAGTCAGCCACTGTTTGCACTGTTTCTCCATCTGTCTGCCATGCATGATGGGACCAGATGCCATGATCTTGNCAGTCAAAGGCTTTGCCATAGTCAATAAAGCAGAAATGGATGTTTTTCTGGAACTCTCTTGCTTTTTCTATGATCCATTGGATGTTGGCAATTTGATCTCTGGTTCCTCTGCTTTTTCTAAAACCAGCTTGAACATCTGGAAGTTCACAGTTTATGTATTGCTGAAGCCTGGCTAGGAGAATTTTAAGCATTACTTTACTAGCGTGTGAGATGAGTGCAATTGTGCAGTAGTTTAAGCATTCTTTGGCATTGCCTTTCTTTAGGATTGATGTTTACTGTACTAGAAATGGAAACTAAAATACAAGACTACACAAGCACATATGTCATCAGCTATCAGAGCAATGATATCATCACAGGACATGTAGCCTCTGGGAAATGCCACTGGACACTTGGGAGGAAATGAGAGTAAGAAATAAGACAAATAACTTTTCATTATCATTATGAAAGTGTTTTGATGTCAGAAATCCCTGACTTTGAGAACCCCTGGAATAGTGTAATAGACCTGATAGGGCTGGTCCAGGAGGATGTGAAACTTGGATTTTACTCTTGCATCTGATTGGGACAGATTTTATTTTCTTGGGCTCCAGTATCACTGTGGATGGTGACTGCAGCCATGAAATTAAAAGATGCTTGCTCCTTGGAAAGAAACCATGGCAAACCTAGACAGTACACTGTCGCTGCTTAAAAAGCAGTGACATCACTTTGCCAATAAAGGTCCATATAGTCAAAGCTACATTTTTCCCATCTGTCATGTATGGATGTGAGAGTTGGACCATAAAGAGGACTGAACACCAAAGAATTGATGCTTTCGAATTGTGGTGCTGGAGAAGACCCTTGAGAGTCCCTTGGACTGCAAGGAGATCAAACAATTCAATCCTAAAAGAAATCAGCCTTGATTACTCATTGGAAGGACTGATGCTGAAGCTCTAATACTTTGGCCATCTGATGCAGCAAGCTAACTCATTGGAAAAGACCCTGATGCTGGGAAAGACTGAAGACAAAAGGAGAAGTGAGAGGCAGAGGGTGAGATGGTTGCAGGGTATCACCGACTCAATGGACATGAATTTGGGCAGACTCTGGGAGATAGTGGACGGGGAAGCCTGGTGTGCTGCAGGCCATAGAGTCGCAGGGTCGGACACAACTTAGTGACTGAACAACAATACTGATTGTTACCATACAGTCTTGGGTGAATTATGTGATCTCTCTCAAACTTAACATTCTTTAGTCTTCATCTCATCTACCTTCTAGTGTTGTTGTGAGAACCAAGCAACAACCCACAAAAGGAGTTACTTCATAAGCTTGTTGTAAAGATGAAAATATGGCATCACACAAGTATGCTTAGCATGGTTCCTGAAACAAGATTAAGAGGTCAATACATGTTTGAGACACAAATGATATGAGATGTGCCACCAAGCTTATGGCTTCCTTTGGGCCTGGCAGATCTCATCATCTCATTTTTGTACTTCTTGTTTGGCCAGAATAATTAAGGATCAAGGAAATGCACTCTACATTTAAGCACACAGCTTTGGTGAACCAGCAGTAAATGAAACAAGTGGGAACAATTCTCAACTGGCTCACTTTATGGTTCAACTTTCTGAGTAATTGAACCCTACGTTTTTCCCTAATCTGTTGCCATGAAGGAAAACCATCATGTAGCTTAGAAGCAGTGACAGTTTTCCAGAAACACTACTGGATTCAGGGTTCAAAGACCTACATTACTGCCTTGACTGTGTCACTACTTGGCTGTGTGAACTGAGGAATGGCCTCCAGTTTAGTTCAGTCCAGTTGCTCATTCATGTCCAACTCTTTGCAACCCCATGGACTGCATCATGCCAGGCCTCCCAGTCCATCACCAACTCCCAGAGTTTACTCAAATTCATCTCCATGGAGTTTGTGATACCATCCAACCATCTCATTTTCTGTTGTCCCCTTCTCCTCCTACCTTCAATCTTTCTCAACATCAGGGTCTTTTCTAACAAATCAGCTCTTCACATCAGGTGGCCAAAGTATTCGAGTTTCAGCTTTTAGGATGGACTGGTTGGATCTCCTTACTGTCCAAGGGACTCTCAAGAGTCTTCTCCAACACCACAGTTCAAAAGCATCAATTCTTCAGTGCTCAGCNGCCATGATTGTAGTTTTCTGAATGTTGAGTTTTAAGCCAACTTTTTCACTCTCCTCTTTCACTTTCATCAAGAGGCTCTTTAGTTCTTCTTCACTTTCTGCCATAACGGTGGTGTCATCTGCATATCTGAGATTATTGATATTTCTCCTGGCAATCTTGATTCTAGCTTGTGCTTCATCCAGCCCAGCAAAGTAGTAAACATATTCAAAGCATCCCAGGTAGTTCAAATGGTAAAGAATCTGCCCACAATGTGTGAGGCCTGGGTTTGATCCCTGGGTTGGGACGATTCTCTGGAGGAGGGCATGGCAACACACTCCAGTGTTCTTGCCTAGAGAATCCCATGGACAGAGGAGCCTGGTGGGTTAGAGTCCATGGACTTGCAAACAGTTGGACATGACTAAATGACTAACACACACACACACAAATATATACAAAAGTAGGAAGACTGGCTTAATAAGCTGTGTATACTATGTATTCATCACCAACTTTAATAATTATCAACTCAAGGCTATCATGTGTCATCTCTGCCCCCATCTACTTCTCTCTGTTACCAGATTTTTTTGTATGTGGATAATATTTTTCTTTCAATTTTATTGTGATATATTTGACATACAGCACTGTATAAATTTAAAGTGACTTACCTTACAAATGTTGTGAAATGATTACCACAGTCAGTTTAGTTAACATCTGTCATCTCACATAGATACATAAAGGAAAAAGAAGAAACAGTTTCCTTGTGATGAAAACTTTTTGAATTTATTTTCTTAGCAACTCTCAAATATACCATATAGCAGTGTAAATATAGTCATCATGTTATACATTATAGTACCAATTTAATTAATAACTAGAAGTTTGTCCCTTTTGATCACCTTCATCCAGTTACTCTTGAAGATTACATTTGAAGCAAGTATCAGACATTGTGTGATTTATTTGTAAGTATTTTAGTATGTATCTCTTAAGTGATAAGAACTGTTTTAGATATTGTGTGTGTGAGTGTGTGTGCTCAGTCATGTCAGACTCTTTGTGACTCCATGGACTGTCGCCCAACAGGCTCCTGTGTCCATCAGATTTCCCAGGCAAGAATGTTGGAGTGGATTGCCATTTCCTCCTCCAGTTGATCTTCCTGACCCACGGGTCAAACCCACATGTGTTGAGTCTCCTGCATTGGCATGCATATTCTTTACCAGTATGCCACCCAGGAAGCCCATTTTAGATATTGTCATACCTCAAAAATTTATTTAATAGCAGCAAATATTCAATCACTATTCAGGTTTCCTTGATTGTCTTATACTTTTCTTTGTAGTTTGTTTATCTGAATCAGGATCTAAATAAGACCTGTGCATTACAATTGGTCTTTTAAGTGTCTCTTAATCTATATAGATCCCTCTCCATACATGAGAAAAAAATTCTTTTAAAATGTGCTTTTCAGAAAGATGACTAAAGTCTAGCCATATAGAAACCTTTTCACTGGGAATTAAATTTGGATGAAGTGAGTAATTAGATAACAGTATTATCAAACAGGTCAGTTTTCATTCCAGTCCCAAAGAAAGGCAATGCCGAAGAATGTTCCAACTACTACACAATTGCACTCATTTCACACGCTAGCAAAGTAATGCTCAAAATTCTCCAAGCCAGGCTTCGACAGTACGTGAACCGTGAACTTCCAGATGTTCAAGCTGGATTAGGAAAGGCAGAGGAACCAGAGATCAAATTTCCAACATCCATTGGATCATCAAAAAAGCAAGAGAGTTTCAGAAAAACATCTACTTATACTTTATTGACTATGCCAAAGCCTTTGACCGTGTGGATCACGACAAACTGTGCAACATTCTTAAAAAGATGGGAATACCAGACCACCTGACCTGCCTTCTGAGAAATCTGTATGCAGGTCAAGAAGCAACAGTTAGAACTGGACATGAAACAACAGACTGGTTCCAAATAGGAAAAGGAGTACGTCAAGGCTATATATTGTCACCCTGCTTATTTAACTTATATGCAGAGTACATCATGAGAAA